GGGGGGGGGGGGGGGGTCGACGTAAGTTCCCACGCTGCGAAAAATTCAAGCGAACGATGCCGTTCGATTTGATTCAAACAACTGGTCTCGCTGGGAGATGCGTGGCACGGCGAGCATTAGCAACGTCTTACCGTCGAGCACGCAAAGAGCCCTCGCGAACCGTAGTCCCTTCGGTCACGAAACGCAGCATCGAAACCCTAATCAGAAAGGTAACGCAAATTGTATGAAACTTCCCTAGCAAATTGCTGTTCGTATAAAATTAGCCTCTTAGATCAATAAATGTACTCCTTTCTTAACTCTGTATTGGAACATCTATTTTGATTGTACTATGATTAGAAGATCGCAAAATGTATTTTTTTAATTTTAATGTTTTCTTTACAACCCTTTCAAAATCTAACAGAATCGCTACATTTTTAAAAAAATCATAGAATTTTTATTCGTGATATAGGTGCTCTTAATACTATACGAGATTATTATTATAGAAATCTTTTTTTAAAATAATCATTCCTTTTAAAAATTCATAGAATTGACCCTCATAAAATAACAGTGCAGAATTCTACGAAAATACGCTTCGCTGGTTTCATCGAAAATTCACCCCAAAAAAGGTGACGAATTTATCATTCCAATATCATTCTACTTGATGTATGTATGTATGTATGTATGTATCTGTGTTCTTGTCTGGTTGTGAAGTTGCAGTACTACTTGCCCGGGAGCAATGCTAGCCCACTTAATTATCCCGGAACAGACGCTCAACCTCTGTTTGATCGGCACAGAACAAATCTCCTCCGTCTAGCCAGGAATAGTAGAATTTTTTAAGAATTACATAGTTCGATATAGTTCCCCCTGTCTGACATTATGAGGTTCGTTCTCCACCTGACGTTCGAATAACATATCTATTCCACTCGCCCGATCATCGTGCATTTTTAATTACCTTTTGCTCCTATACTGTCACGTACGTTTCGTGAGCAATGTCATTTCTTGGGCGCCAACGTTCGAAGTATTAATACGTCCATTTATTTTTAACCATCGATCCACGGAGCCAGTTAACTATTAGACTTTCTCAACGAATTTCTCGATGCGATGAAAATTTTATGACGTCGCACGGTGAACCTACCCCGACTCATAATCCGTTTTTTTTCATTTTTGTTGTCCAACGGATAGGCTTATACGCTTATATATTAGGTCTGCCGGAAAGTTCTGTCCGATAGTGTCACTTCAAGTTTCAATCCATATGCACATGTTGATTTGAGACATGTATGACTATCTCTCTTTATCATTGCATTTACGCACATGTACTCTCCTAAATAAACTGAAACAAAGATGTCTCATGTCATTATTAGGTGAGACGCGATCGTAAAAACATGGCTACCGATGATAATGCCAGGCCACATGCTGCTTTGGCGACTCGTCAGAAAATCGCAGAGCTAGGCTGGGAAATTCCTGTCTCTTATACACATCTAGATGTGTATAAGAGACAGGAATTTCCCAGCCTAGCTCTGCGATTTTCTGACGAGTCGCCAAAGCAGCATGTGGCCTGGCATTATCATCGGTAGCCATGCTTTCACGATCGCGTCTCACCTAATAATGACATGAGACATCTTTGTTTCAGTTTATTTAGGAGAGTACATGCTGTCTCTTATACACATCTAGATGTGTATAAGAGACAGGAATTTCCCAGCCTAGCTCTGCGATTTTCTGACGAGTCGCCAAAGCAGCATGTGGCCTGGCATTATCATCGGTAGCCATGCTTTCACGATCGCGTCTCACCTAATAATGACATGAGACATCTTTGTTTCAGTTTATTTAGGAGAGTACATGCTGTCTCTTATACACATCTAGATGTGTATAAGAGACAGGAATTTCCCAGCCTAGCTCTGCGATTTTCTGACGAGTCGCCAAAGCAGCATGTGGCCTGGCATTATCATCGGTAGCCATGCTTTCACGATCGCGTCTCACCTAATAATGACATGAGACATCTTTGTTTCAGTTTATTTAGGAGAGTACATGCTGTCTCTTATACACATCTAGATGTGTATAAGAGACAGGAATTTCCCAGCCTAGCTCTGCGATTTTCTGACGAGTCGCCAAAGCAGCATGTGGCCTGGCATTATCATCGGTAGCCATGCTTTCACGATCGCGTCTCACCTAATAATGACATGAGACATCTTTGTTTCAGTTTATTTAGGAGAGTACATGCTGTCTCTTATACACATCTAGATGTGTATAAGAGACAGGAATTTCCCAGCCTAGCTCTGCGATTTTCTGACGAGTCGCCAAAGCAGCATGTGGCCTGGCATTATCATCGGTAGCCATGCTTTCACGATCGCGTCTCACCTAATAATGACATGAGACATCTTTGTTTCAGTTTATTTAGGAGAGTACATGCTGTCTCTTATACACATCTAGATGTGTATAAGAGACAGGAATTTCCCAGCCTAGCTCTGCGATTTTCTGACGAGTCGCCAAAGCAGCATGTGGCCTGGCATTATCATCGGTAGCCATGCTTTCACGATCGCGTCTCACCTAATAATGACATGAGACATCTTTGTTTCAGTTTATTTAGGAGAGTACATGCTGTCTCTTATACACATCTAGATGTGTATAAGAGACAGGAATTTCCCAGCCTAGCTCTGCGATTTTCTGACGAGTCGCCAAAGCAGCATGTGGCCTGGCATTATCATCGGTAGCCATGCTTTCACGATCGCGTCTCACCTAATAATGACATGAGACATCTTTGTTTCAGTTTATTTAGGAGAGTACATGCTGTCTCTTATACACATCTAGATGTGTATAAGAGACAGCATGTACTCTCCTAAATAAACTGAAACAAAGATGTCTCATGTCATTATTAGGTGAGACGCGATCGTAAAAACATGGCTACCGATGATAATGCCAGGCCACATGCTGCTTTGGCGANTATGTATTAGGTCTGCCGAAAAGTTCTGTCCGATAGTGTCACTTCAAGTTTCGATCCATATGCACACGTTGATTTGAGACATGTATGACTATCTCTCTTTATCATTGCATTTACGCACATGTACTCTCCTAAATAAACTGAAACAAAGATGTCTCATGTCATTATTAGGTGAGACGCGATCGTAAAAACATGGCTACCGATGATAATGCCAGGCCACATGCTGCTTTGGCGACTCGTCAGAAAATCGCAGAGCTAGGCTGGGAAATTCTGTCGCATCCACCATACTCCCCAGACCTGGCACCCTCCGATTATCACTTGTTTCTCTCTTTGCAAAACTTTATATAGGAGAAAAAATTCAAAACCGAAGCTGACGTCAACCAAGCACTAGTCGAGTTCCTCGTCTCTAAAAATAAATCATTTTTCAAAAATGGCATTTACAAGTTGCCATCACGCTGGCAAGAAGTCATAAGTAACGATGGAAAGTACATTCTACAATAAATATTATTAAATGTATGAAAATTGTGTTATATTTCAATTAAAAAACGGACAGAACTTTCCGGTAGACCTAACATTTGTGAAGTAAACGACAATGTCCACATTGGAAAACTATGATGTTACTATTCGATAGTTTTTAAACGTAAATCTCGCACGTTCTAGTCACTAAATCTTTCAAATAATCATAAAGGTAGCTTAACGCAACCTTGAAGTTCTCTTTTAATTTCCGAACGGATCAAAGTGGCCGCTAGAAAGTTCGAAAAAGGGTGGGAAAGGGAGTGCAAAGCCACTTTCCGAACGCCATAATTCACGGGGCCAGAAAAAGTCCCGGCCGGGCTCCCAAGTTCTCGCAATTCATCGCGGTTTTTACTCGCGAGGCTTACACGCGAATTTCACGAGTTACCTAACTCATTCTTCGGATGATTACGCCCCGCACTTACACGGAACTCCTTTTACCTGCACTCCACCTTTCCCGGATTACGACAAGCCCGCGTAATTACATCGGGGAGATTCGTTATCACTTCTTAACCGGGCCCTCGCACAAATTACTCGATGAATAATTAAAGTGCTCGCCTGCTCGGCGAGCTTTGTCAAAAAAACCCCGCCAGCCTCTAGAATCGATGCCGATATCGTCGCGAAACATCGCCGTAAGGTGTCCCAGTTTCCACGAGCTAATTCCGCGTGAAAAACTGAACCGAATATATACGATACAATTTTCCCAGACGAGCTCCCGTTTTCGAGAAAACTGGGCTCGAAGATCGGGTTCGAAAACCAAACTTTGCCAAGATAGAGAGCGTCGTTCGTGATAATTGTGGATTTATATGCAAAATAAGAACTGTCCGCGTCAATTACGATAAACAGCAGTTACATACGCATTCATTTTTCTTCGTAATAACTCTAAAGTTTAATACTAAAATTTAATTTTTAAAGTTAAATACTAAAGAAATTATTATTAATTTCTTAATGATTCCAAACTTAAATAATAATTTCTTAATAACTCTAATTCCTTAAATACGTTTATATATATTATTTCGCATTTGAACTAATCGCAGTCGAATGATCAGACAATCTACTCCGAGAACTAATTTTCTCGACATTGTCTTCGATTTCTGATAAACAATTGAAACACCCCGCGATATTCTCCCTCGTCGTCCGTTAAATTTCAAGGAAGGTAGTAAAACGATTGCACGATTTTCTCGACAACATACAATACGATATTTCCGAATAATCCTTTCGTGAAAATTGGACCGGAAAGTTAGCTCACGCGGAAGTAGAAAGTGCCGTTCGTGATCAGACAAGTGTCACTTGCAGCGCGCGCGTCTTATCAATATTCAAAATGAATTTTCACGATAACGAAGGCTCGAACAAAGAAATGTTATTCTACGTTTCCGGTTCGCTTTCTTCTTTCGCGTGGAATCGCTCCCCTCGCTTTGATTTATTATAAACAATTGGAACACCTTGCGATGCAATATCTCATCGCGTATCGATCCGTGACTGGAAACTGGAAGGTGTTCCCTTCGTTTCGATAGCATTTTATTCGTTAAATAAAACGAAAATTGACCGCAAATTCCCTCTGCCTCTCGCTCGCGAAATCCACGCGAGTGTCTTCCGAGGAACTTGGATCATTCTTTCGATGATCGCATCCCGTGCTTACACGAAACCCCTTTTAGCCGGCCCGGTGTCTCCCGCCGTTTGTCCGGCGTGACTCTTAATTGCGACGGTGGTCGCATAATTCGAGGACCACGGTAAAGATACCGGGACGCGGGACCGAATTATTTCGCAACTTCGTTAGCATCGAATCTAATGAAACGAATGGTATTTGCCGCGAGACCGCGGGAATGGAATTAGGGTCTCGCATAAATTTGGAAGTTGGTGGTTTCGGGAGGGGAGCCAAGATTGATATAAACTGCGCCGGCTAATTAATATATCGCACAGGCGTCCCAGTCGTTCCTTTTCCCTGGCGGAAAATTGATCAAATAGCACTGTCCACTTCGGAAACAAACTTCATCTTCGCCGCCAACGCTGTACGAAAATGATAAAGAAATCTCTTCGTCTATTGGTTCGACGGAATTTCTCGTTCAAATTGCGATCAGGAGAACTCACTTCGGTTTGAATGTCAATCATCCTTAGAGACAGGGAACCGGTACCTCGACGACGCATCGAAATACACATTCACATTCTCTGGAACCCGTTCCCGCCGTTTTAATAAGAGAACTCGCGCGGTGAAAACAATCGTGAATTGGAACAAGTCGTTCCTTCGTGCCCAGATAAATCAGGCCGACTTCGAGTAGCCACGTGCCGACGATCCCGACGCAGGAACGCCGTATACCGCATCCTCGACGGACGTCGCGGCGCTTACTAACTGCGGGACCGACTACCAGCGACGCTTTATGGGTTGCAGCTTCCCTTACTGCACCCACCCTTTCCACCTGCGAGTTTTCTCCCGCCAATCATGAAATTCGGCGTGGTTACCATACAAATACCGATCCTGGTAAACCGACGCATCGAACGTAATGGACATGGCTTCGCGAAGATCGAATTGTGTGATAGGTAGACCCGTCGTGTAAATTAACCTGCGTTTGATTTTACCTGCTCGATCGTTGGAAAGTTCGAATTTCACTACCGCGGATAGAACAAAATTTTAATTAGATTTCGGATTTATATGTCTTTACGAAGAGCCTCGGTGGATGTAAATGTTTGAGGACTCTCGCAGTAGTTCCACTCTCCTCGTGCTCTTTGGCCATTAGCAAACAGAAAATTTTAATGGAAACTGGAAAACCACGCCGATCCCAAGAAGCAGAAGATAAATGAAAATTTGTTTCGTCTCCTTTAATCGCTTTGTAACTTTCTAATGTTTGTTAGCGAACGAATAAGATCCGCGGGGTTCAGTTATCGTCGACCGGAGGATTTTGATTTGACATCGAAATATCGTGCATTAATCATAAATAAAAAGGAACGATCGTGAAATAAAATTGTGTCTCTTCGTAATTCATTTACCAGAAACAATTTCCGAACGATCGAACCGTATCTAAAATGATCCCGATAATTTTCTTTGAAATAATAATTTCGGAAGAAAAGTTGCTGCATCGTATATAAATCCAAACAATTTGTTAAACGAAAGCTATTGTCTTCAACGATATAAGAATCCATATAATTTGTTCGATTATGAGCAAATCCCAAGAAGCAGAAGATAAATGAAAATTTGTTTCGTCTCCTTTAATCGCTTTGTACCTTTCCAATGTTTTTAGCGAACGAATAAGATCCACGGGGTTTAGTTATCGTCGACCGGGGGATTTTGATTTGACATCGAAATATCGTGCATTAATCATAAATAAAAAGGAACGATCGCGAAATAAAATCGTGTAGATTTACTGCAGAGAAACAAAGTAAATATAACTTCTGTCTCTTCGTATTTCATTTACCAGAAACAATTTCATTTACCACAAACGATCGAACCGTATCTAACATGATCCCGGTAATTTTCTTTGAAATAATAATTTCGGAAGAAGTTGCTGCATCGTATATAAATCCAAACAATTTGTTAAACGAAAGCTATTGTCTTCGACAATATAAGAATCCATATAATTTGTTCGATTATGAGCAAATCCCAAGAAGCAGAAGATAAATGAAAATTTGTTTCGTCTCCTTTAATCGCTTTGTAACTTTCTAATGTTTTCAGCGAACGAATAAGATCCGCGGGGTCTACTCATCGTCGACCGGAGGATTTTGATTTGACATCGAAATTTCGTGCATTAATCACAAATAAAAAGGAACGATCGTGAAATAAAATTGTGTAGATTGACCGCAGAGAAACAAATTAAATATAACTTTTGTCTCTTCGTAATTCATTTACCAGAAACTAATCGATAGCTTTCCGAACGATCGAACCGTATCTGAAATGATCCCGGTAATTTTCTTTGAAATAATAATTTCGGAAGAAGTTGCTGCATCGTATATATAAAAATCTCCAAACAGTTTGTTAAACGAAAGCTATTGTCTTCGACGAAAAGATCCATAAAATTAGTACTATGAGTAATATTTAAATTAAATTAAAAATTAATTATCGATGATCGCATTCCGTGCTTACACGAAATTATTAATTAATTTAAATTAAAAATTAGTAATATTTAAAAATCCATATGATTCGTTCGATCATGAGCGATCTTCGAAAAACTTGAAGAGAAAGAGCATAACTCGCATTTCAATCAACGCACAAATCACCCCGATTATAATAAATTTTGTATATAAGCATTTTATACGTTCGCTGGCCGATTTCTTGTGCACGGTTCGTCAGGAAGATCGATCGAGCCCACAGTCCGATTTCGCAAACGCCTATTCTACTCGGCCGTTTCGCTCCGCTCGGCGATTCTACCCTCTCGCAACTGATAATTGTTTTAATTCGTAAAAGCTCGAAACACCGGTATATGTACGTTCTTCCCGGTAGATTTATCTTCCGGCGGTTCATTTCGGACGATAAAATTTTATCATCGTCGACGTCGAGCAATTAAGCGTAGAAATATTGCGCCGTTTGAACCGGAGGTTGAAAGCGAGATAATCCGCGGGGATTTTAATTCGCGCTTGATCGAAGAAAAGGTGGCCTGTTCTTCGGGGCCACGGTTTTCCCGGCGGTTTTAACGGCGGGTCGGGGCGACGGTGCCAAAGCTTGCTTTAGAGCGCGTATAACCAGGTGTCGCATAAGCGGAAGCGGTAAAACCGAATTAATGTAACGAAATTTCTAATATGCGTGCCGGGGCTGGCTAACTGGGCGCCCTAAAATTGCGTTTTAGGTGCCTGCTTGGCGCCGAGCCATGAATTCCTGGTAGGCCATCGGACGCGTTTTCGTAAATTGATGGTAATTACGCAATTGATATCTAGGATGATGTTATAGATTCAGATTTAGACGCGCGTACACACGTCGCCGGCAACATATTATTACCGTTTTATCGTAACAGGAGAATACATGTCTATAGATTCCCGCGTGAAACATTGCACCGGCGATCCTTCGAAAAGCACGGGCCTTGCGAGATTACAAGATCGAATAGCTCGTGTATTTTTAACATTATCTGTTCTATCGTTTATCCGATTACCAGCTGCGCGAATCAACTCCTCCCACTTGCCGACTCGGTTTTGTAAACAGCCCCGGGGTGCATACCGCTCGCACACAAAAATAATCACCATTTCCTATATTCGTTTACTTCGTCCCGCTATTAATTCGCACGTAAACCACAGCCGCGTTGGTCGTCTGCCATCCGATCTTGAAAATTAATTTCTGCTAATGTATCGACGGAGATGATTAAACATGCTTCTAGTTTGACTTCTGACATTAACAAATATAACCGTCGACGGACCGCGTCCGACGTTTACCGTCGTTCATTAATTAGCGATAACCGAAATACGGAATTGGACAGAAGATGAGTTCGCCGATGCCGATGTTCGATTATATTCGACGTTTTAAAAATGTTGACCAAACTCTACACTCGTTGCTTATCAGATTTTATGATAATGAAATAATAATATTCGTGGGTAATGTTATATATATAATAATATATAATATATATACAATAATATATATAATATAATATTATATATATTATATATATTAATATTATATATATTATATATATAACCTTTGCAACCTATTTAGAACAATTGCTGAGTATTCATATATTATTATATATTACATTATTATATATATAATTATTATTATATAATATATTATTATAATATATAATATATATTATATATATATAATATTAATATTATATATATAATATATATAATAATGTAATATATAATAATATATGAATACTCCGCGATTGTTCTAAATAGGTTGCAAAGGTTATATATATAATATATATAATATTAATATATATAATATATATNGATTACAAAGTTACACTTGCGAATGCGATCGAATGCTACAACGTTGCAGCAAATACCGAAATCAAAATGGAGGCAGAGTTGGGCACTTCAAGCTTTTGGTATACAGATTCACGGTAACTAGGCGATTACCGCATTAAAGCGTTTATTTGTCGCATTAAATGAACGTGTAACGACTAACTTAATCGAGCTTTCACAAATGATTAATGACCGAGCGATCGTCATTCGTGACATTAACGCGTAATTAATAGCGATTAGTCACCGTGTATTTTAACTACAGCTAACATCGTTTAATTAACAGTAATTATTACACATACGATTAAATTCGTAACAATTAGTCATACGGGGTCGATTGATTACATTTAACGAAACCGCGAGCGAAGGAAACGCTTCGAACCACGAAATGATTCAAAAATGAAACCGAATTTTTATTCAACTCCGGTCGATCGCAATCGGCAGCCAAAGAACAAAGGAAACAATTATCTGAATCGAGACTTGTTTCACAACACTCCTCTCGATGGAAACACGCCGATTCGACTGCGTGGATCGCGACGAGATAGCGGCGAACGAGATTCCTCGCGATTACGATGACTGTCATCGATGCGGACGAATGACAATTCGAAATGGGATCTTGGCCGACAGAGCCGCATATGAAATGCACAATGTGTGCGGCCGCGCGGCGAATGTACCGCGTCAGATTGCGCCGCGAAATCCGGGCGTTGCATAATGCACGCCGTCTTTCATAACCTCGTTTCGATCCCGGGCCGGGGAGCTTCCGTAGCCACGTGTAAATAATCTTAAACTGTCAAATGCACATGCCGGAGACCGATCTCCGATGGGACGCCTACGGGACGCCGATGGCCGAGCACGCGTGAATGCACGTATATACATCGGGGCGCAAGAACCTGGCCGGATGCACTGCACCGGAATAATCAGCGACGATCGTACGGTTCGTGCGCCGGAACCCCGCCGTATACTAACGGTATGCTGCACCGTTTCCCCGAGTTATTGGTAGCCTTACTTTTTTTCGGCGGCGCGGCTAAACAAACGCAGAAATCGACCCCCGAATTCGAATAAAATGTCCCGCGCCGCATTCCGAGATTTGTCACGCCCCCTCGTTTCCGGTTTGGAAGAGATTTTTGGACTATTTCTGTGGCAGACATTTCTGTATATATATATTATATTATCTTGAAAAAAATGCTGTAGATTTTTTGTGGACGGAATAGTTGACTGATATTAACTATTTGCACTCGAAGCTATTTGAATCGTTAACCTAAAATTATTTTTCTGACTAATTTTATGCGTATGAAATTGTGCCTTGTGGTGACTCGTGCAATTTAAAAAATTGTTGAAAGCGTAATTGTATATATGTATATATATAATAATATAATAATTATATATAATTAATTATATTAATTATATATAAATATATATAATAATATATATATATACATGTAATAATATGTATTATAATAATATGTATATATTATTGCAA